TAGTAGAGACAAGGTCATTGTCCAGGCTGGTCTAGAACTCCTGAGCTCAAATGATCCTCTGCCTCAGCCTCCCAAAATGCTGGGATTACAAGCATGAGCCACCACTCCCAGCATTTCAAGCACATCGAGCACCATGCTTGACAAATATTTGTTGAATTAATGAGTAGAGAGTGACAGTTCCTATTTTGGGGGTGGGGGTGGGCAAGCAAGAACTTTTGTCAATTTAAGGACCTAAAAGAATGTCTCCTGGGGTGCGCTGGGGGAAGGTAGTGGTTTTGTAGTATTTAGTCTATAAAGGAGCTAATGTTTGAGGCTGTCTTGACCAGGAGCTTTGGCCTGGCTGTGGCCTAGATAGTGGCTCCACATGAGGACACAGAAAAGTGCTGATGGAAAAGGGTCTTACAACAGTAGCCAGAGGACCCAGCCCCAGCCATGAAGTTCTGGGCCTGACCTTGAGGTCGGCTTTATGCAGTTTCCAGAACCCTCTTCCATCCTTAGCTCTACTTCTCCAGGCATCGGCTACATTTCCAAAAATGTGGGTCCCATCTCCCTCTGAGTTTTCTGGAAAGCCAGTGAAAATGCAAAACCCTGGCTGGCCTGCTGGCTGGTAGCTGGGCCTGACTCAAGAACTACTGAATCAAAACATTCAGAAGCAGCACCCGAGAACGTGTATTTTAAGAATTTCCACATTGCCCGCAGGGGTCCTTGGACACAGAACCAGAAGGGTGACCTGAGCCATTGCCAGCTGGTGAGTAGGAGGTTGGAATAAATGAATTCTGGGACAGAGAAGAGAACAAGGAGTGTAGTTTGAGACATTTAACCGCCTTATCTAACCATCACTACCTCCTTGGGAGGTCGGTTATCATACTGTGAAAGGAAAATAAATCTCAAGAACCCCAAGTCATTAAGTCAAAGGGGAGAAGTCAAGCTGGGAACTACTTAGGGCCAACTTGCCTCCTGTTCTATTCCTTGAAAAGATGGCTAGTAAGATAAAAAAGCTACATACCTCCCTCACAATTTGTCCACAAGGGATTTTTGAAACGGCTAATCAGAAACTGAAAAGAATGAACCATTTTTTGCTTATCCACCCATGACCTGGAAGTCCCCTCCTGCTTCAAGTTGACCCACCTTTCCAGACCAAACAAATGTACATCTCACACATATTGATTAATGTCACATGTCTCCCTAAAATGCATAAAACTAAGCTGTGCCCCAATCATCTTAGTCACATGGCATTAGGACCTCCTGACGCTGTGTCACAGGAACATCCTTAAGTTTGGCAAAATGAACTCCCTAAATTGACTGAGACCAGTCTAAGATATTTACGGTTCACCATACCTATTTCATGGAGGTGATACAGAAGTTAAGAAGAAATCACTTAGGCAGATAGCCTTTTACCCTTGTAAAAGGCTGTTCTAGGCTTTTCTTTTTAATGAAAAGCAGCCCCAAATCATTTTCTAATGAAAATCAGTCTGTAAAGTTAAGCTGCAAACAGACAAGCAAGCTGGGAGCTTGCATGAATGCTGGCAGGAACTAAAGACTAGACATTTTCAAGATGGCAGCTCCATCTTCCCTTCTCTGCCAGCCACGTATAAGGAGCAAACAAGATGGGGCTGATCAACTAGAAAGTCCATTTGCATAATAAGATTAAGGCGGGGTGACTAGCCTTCTGTGCACATTATGTAAATGTCATACCTGATCAAACCAATCTATGAGCCCTATGTAAATCAGACACTGCCTCCTCAAACTGGACTATAAAAGTCACGCATTTGCTGCCAGCCAGTCTTTTCCACTCGGAGACCCCTTCCTCTAAAGAGTAAGCTGTTTTCTCTTTCTCTCCTCTTCTACCTATTAAACCTCCGCTCCTAAATTCCTCATGTGTGTCCATGTCCTAAATCTTCTTGGCTACAACATTGAACCCCAGGGCATGTACCCCAGACAACATAACCACCTCAGAGGTGGACACTGAGGCTCAGACAGAAAGGATCCTGGTCTGCCTGACTTCATGTCTCGAGCTTTTTGCTTGTACCCCAGGGAAACCCACTCAACAAAACACCTCGTATTTTGTTCTCAGTCTTCACACAAGGTCATTTTAGGCTAGGTAGCTCCCTGCTGAAGGTCACATGCTGAAATGAAATTGAAAGCAAAGAATAACTAAATGAGCAGCCCTCCACCTGGAAAATCCAGGTGGCATCAGTGGAAGAGCCAAGACGTGGGAGGTTTTCATGTCTATTTTTAAGCAATTGAACTAAATTAAATGTCTCTTTCACAGCCAGGCTAAATGTTGTTTGCAAGTTTGGAGCTTTGTTTATATGTATATATTTTAAATAAATTTGATAATTAAGTCACAAATGTTCTCAGCACACTTGGATATATTTAAATTACAGGCTTCTGATCAAATGGAGAAAAGTCACAAATATGGACCTAAATGATGCCTTTTTTGTTCAGTGCCTTTTGCAGCATTCAAATGGGTCTGTCAGCTTAATGGCCAATTCTAAGGCTGCTGGGAATGACAGGAGGTGGGGGGATTGGCAAAGAGACTACAGGAAGTAAAACCCCGTGGTGAAAAATTGCAGTTCTTTGAAGAAAGCATTTCATCTGCACTTGTAATTGATTTCATCAAGCCAGTTTTGAAAACACAAACAAGCTGGTAAACGGGGTGTTTGTCTCTGCCTGACTGGCAGCACTCTATACCCACCATGAACAGCCAGAACCCAGTTCCTGAGCATTGTAGCTTCCGGAATCAAGGGGTACCAGGGTCAAATCTCCTTTGGCCCTTGCTGTGGTGCTTGTGTGGGCAACTTGGAGGTTCTAATATCTGCCCAACTATAGTCTCTGTAGACTAACTGCCCATCCACTGTTAAAACAGCTTCAGACCTAGTAAAGAGTGGCTTTTGTTTGAAAGGATTAATGCAAGGGGCAGGAGGGTCTATTATAACATGGGGAGGGAGACTATTGCAAAAGAGAGCACACTATGACCACAAGGGTTAGGCCAAAAAGAGCTTTTCTTTTATAGGAAGGAGAAAACAAGGCTAGAAAGAACCCGGAAGTGGGGTGAAAGGGTGAAATGATGGGTTAGTAGATCAGAGAATATATGAACCCGAGGCCAGCCTATTCTGAGGAGGACTATCTACTGGCTCAGGCCCAGGGTGAGCCAAAGCTCAGGGGCCTAGAGGAAGGAGAGCATCTTAACCAAAGTGGCTAACAAGCATTTTATAACGATTGATCAGTGGGACAAGCAGTTCAGGTAATCACTTATAAGACAAAGAATGAGAACTTGGAGGGTCTGTGTCTTGTTTACCTGCTCTCACAAGTTAACAACAGGGGAGTGTCCTGGAGTCTTATTTGTTTTACAGGGGAGGGCCGATTCTCTGCAGTTAACTTTTTTCCAGAACACAAAAGGGTGACAGCAATTCCTTTTATGTTTACTCTTTCCCAGGGGTACAAGACTCAGGGAAAATTCAACATTATCACTCCTCAAGGTGAGGAAGGAGACCCAAGCATCTAGGATCACCTCCCCCTTGACTTCCACACTACATTCCAATAGAAGAAAAGGCTGGCCAACTGGTGCTCCTAAATCCCCTTACTATAGATAGCAGGCATAGCATGGGGGAATCTCTCCAGAAGGCATTGTTTTTACTTAAACAAGATCAAACCCCCACCCCACTCCTCCTCCATCGACCAAGACCCTTTCACATGTAATTTCTAAAACTGTAAACCCAAGACCCTTTCACATGTCATTTCTAAGGCTGTAAACCCAAGACCCTTTCATGTGTAATATCTAGAGTTGTAAGCCTATATAAAGGAAGAGCTTCTCTTTCTTAAAGGAGCTTGGCTGTTAGACAAACGTGTCACCTTGCTCCCAGCTGAAATAAATCACCTCTTCTCTCCTAGTTCGCTGTCCGAGAGGTCTGTTTCTCATGGCTGGTCCTGCTTCAAAGGGAAGTAACCTAGTGTAGCATATAACCATGAGGATTCTGGACCTGTGGCTGCTGGGTTGAAACACCAGTATCGCAATGAGCTTGGTGGGTTAGGAGAGCTTTCTGTGCTTTACTTGCTCCCTTCCTGTTATGGTTTGGCTATGTTGCCACCCAAATCTCATCTTGAATTGTAGCTCCCATAATCCCCACGTGTTGTGGAAGGACCCAGTGGGAGATAATTGAATGATGGAGGAGGTTTCCCCCATACGGTTCCCCTGGTAGTGAATAAGACTCATGAGATCTCATGGTTTTGTAAGGGTTTCCCTTTTGACTTGATTCTCATTGTCTCTTGTCTGCTGCCATTTAAGACATGCCTTTCGCCTTCCAGCATGATTGATTGTGAGGCCTCCCCAGCCATGTGAATCCATTAAACCTCTTTTTCTTTGTAAATTATTCAGTCTTGGGTATGTCTTTATCAGCAGTATGAAAGCAGACTAATACACTCCCTAAAATGGGGATGATCATGATCAATACAACAGCTACAATTTTAATATTTTTAAAGCACTTTAGCACAGTACCTAGAATCTGCTAATCTATGAACTTATCTTGAGCAAGCCTGTTTCCTACTCAGACCCCAACCAAGCCCAGTATGAGCATAACTTTCCACACCTCTGTGCAATGCTGCAAAAGGCCTGCACACCTGGAGCCCGTTGGAGAGTGTGCTCAAAAGATAAAAGTCTCAGTGTCCCCACACCACTCAGCATCAAAGCAAAGGTGGCAGAAGTGTGTGCCCCGGCCACTTCCTTCTCACTCGAACCGACTGTGGATGCAGCACTAGCTCGTGGGTCAACTGTGGATCTGACTTTCCAAAAGTACAAGTATGTGGCCACTTTAATCACTGAGCCTCACTTTACCTCTCTGTAAAACAGGGAGAACTAATAATCCTAGCTGCAGGAAATAAATGGTGAATGAGAAACAGCCTTGTACGAAGTTGTTATCTGCGCAGAGGAAAAAGCGGGTGTCACTGGCGTTAGAACCCAGAGGGAACACCCCAGCCTTTCTCTGGCTTCACTCCCTGACCTTCTAAACGGGATGGGGCAGGGCCACGGCATCGATTACTCGGCGCTCCTCCAGGCTCTCCTTCGGATCAGACGAGCAGCGAGTGATCAATACCCCTTTGCTAGCCTCTGACTCCTCCGAGGAGACAGACGAGTGATCGGACCAAACGCAACGCGTCGTCGCCAGCTCAAAGACGACTCGACACCGTCGCAGCTGAAGAGAGGTTAGTTTGAGCAACTCGAGAGTGCAGTAAGCTCCGGCTCCTCAGAAGTGGAGAGGCCGGGTTCGGAGGCCTGGACCGCGCGGCGGTCTTGTAAAACACCAAACCCGACCTCGCGCATGCGCTTTGGAAGGCCGTGAGGCTGGCCGAGTCGGCGCATGCGCTCTGAGAATGCAGTTTAGCTCTTCGCTTGCCTGCCCTGTCGGAGGGAAAGGCTCCGCGCCTGCGTAATGCTCATCTTATGGTGGATTAGCGCATGCGTTAGGGCAGTCACATGAGGCAGGCTGCTGTGCGCTTGCGCAGTTCTTGGCGTCTCATCAGTGCAGCCCTAGTGCGATTGCGCAAGTGTTTATGCCGTACTGTGTGTGTCTTGGGCGGCAAGGTTGCCTGGAAATGATTGAGCTGTCAGGTACCGAATGTGAGCCACGAGAAATGCAGCCCCGGGGAAGGCGCTGAGGAGGGATTGGGGTCTGAGGCCTCGGGGCGCAAGGCTACTGCGAGATACCTGGGACCCTCTGGGGCCCGGGCGTGTGGCTGCTGGAAGGAAAGGTACTTGTAGCTCGGAAAGACTTAACGTTGGGCATCGGTGCGTCTCCCAGTAACTGAGAATCGCGGTGCTCTGGAGGACTCCGGAGCAAGCCCCGGGTCGGGAGGTGCGCAGGTGTTGAGACCACATGGACCACCCAAACACAAGACTGTGAGCCCCTTAGAGAGCCAAAGGGACTCTTGTACCATGAATAAAGCTTTCTGGAAAATGTTCCAAACTTCTCTGGGAAGTTTTACGAAGCTCTTGTTTTTGAATAAGTTTTGTAGAATATTGCCATAATAACATTGAAGAGATTGGAGAACTGGACTGCCTGTTCCCAGAAAGCCAGGTGTAGGCCGATCTGTCCTGGAAGCCCCCTTTGGCAGGCTTTCTCATGACCAGCATGGTGCTTGCAGAGTGCCCACTCTGAGACCCTCTGCAAATCACAGTGAGGTTCTCGAAGAGGCCATTCCACCCAGCCACCTTAAAGAATACTCTGGGAGGTGCTTTAGAGGAGCTGATTAAAAATAATTTAAGGCTGGGCACGGTGGCTAACATCTGTAAACCCAGCTCTTTGGGAGGCCAAGGCAGACGGATCACTTCACATCAGGAGTTAACAGGACCAGCCTGGCAACGTGGGACAACCCCGTCTCCGCTAAAAATACAAATATTAGCCGGGTGTCGTGGCGGGTGCCTGTAACCCCAGCTACTCGGGTGGCTGAGGCAGGAGAATTGCTTGAACCTGGAAAGCGGAGGTTGCAGTGAGCCAGGACGGAGCGATTGTACTCCAGCCTGGGCAACAGAGTGAGACTCCGTCTCAAAAACAATAATAAAAATAATTTGAGAGAATCCTGGGATGACAGGGCAGTAGCTTCCAAGAGGGATTATCTCATAACCTACCAGGAACCGACCCACTTTGCCAGTGTGTATAATGAATTCTATCTGGAGAATTTATAAAGTCCAAGCCTGAGTCTATTCAGGCTATTTTATATAGGCTATACTTTTTGTTTATACAGGCTCCTTTTTGTTTAATACGACCAACAAGAAACCTTTTATAAGATTCATCTTAGGCTTATTTGTAAATCCAGGAGAAAAACCACTCTGAGAGGTTAGCTCATAATAGCCTATATTCTGACCTTCTTTGCAAGATCATTTCATACACCAACAGACAAGACTTTATGTAAGGAGCATTTAGGGGCTGAATCAAGTCCACCCAAAAGCTGTTTTATGCAGCCTGTACTTGATCTTCCCCATGAAAGCTGTTCCAGCTCATGAGGCCAGTTCACAAAGCCAAGACATAAGACCACTCAGGCTATTTCTATACCTGACAACCCCCTTCCCACCCACTGCAAAAAAGCCTTCTCTGGGCCAGGCACGGTGACTCATGCCTGTAATCTGAGCACTTTGGGAGACCGAGGCAGGTGGATCACCTGAGGTCAGGAGTTCAAGACCAGCCTGGCCAACATGGTGAAACCCCATCTGTACTAAAAATAGAAAAACTAGCCAGGCATGGTGGCAGGCACCTGAAGCAGGAGAATTGCTTGAACTCAGGAGGCAGAGGTTACAGTGAGCTGGGATGATGCCATTGCACTCCAGCCTGGGTGACGGAGCGAGACTCTGTCTCAAAAAAAAAAAAAAAAAAAAAAAAAAAAAAAAAAAAAAAAACCTTCTCTGACCAACAAGAAGTTTTTTAAGGCCAATACCCGTTGAGCTCTGAGAAACTGACTTGTAAAGTGAAGATACGAGGCCACTCAGGCTTTTTCGTATGGCCCACACTTGGGCTATGTTAGATGTCAGTTTGCCTGGAATAACACCAGTTTTACTGGTGCAGACATAAATATTAATAGCATCTGAGTTTGGATGACCTGGCTATACCTGACCACTAGAAGGCTGTCCATACAACTCCCCATAAATCCTTCTATGTGGCACTCGAAGGCCAGTCTTTGGTACTACTCTCACACAGTTTTTTTTTCTTGTAAGGAACTGGCAAGTCAGACATTTTATTTCTGACTCCCATTTGTTTAATATAAGCCTTTTGTGTGCATGTCCTTTTCTTTCAAGGGGGACAGAGTCTTGAAGGGACCGAGTCTTGCTCTGTCCCCCATGCTGGAGTACAGCGACGCAATCTCAGCTTACTACAACCTCTGCCTCCCTGGTTCAAGCAATTCTCCTGCCTCAGCCACCCGAGTAGCTAGGATTACAGGTGTGTACTACCATGCCTGGCTAATTTTTATATTTTTAGTAGAGATTGGGTTTCACCATGTTGGCCAGGCTGAACTCAAACTCCTGACCTCAGGTGATCCACCCTCCTCAACCTCCCAGAGTGCTGGGATTACAGGCCTGGGCCATTGCACCTGGCCTTAATATAAGCCTTTATAAACAGCAATTTGGTGAGGAGCTCTGAGAAGCCAATCAATAAAGTCAGGCCATAACACTACTCCAGCTGATCCTTTCCTCTGGAAAACTGCTTGATACAACCATCAAGAAGCCTTTTGTCACACCAGTATGTGGGGAATGCCAGAAGGCTGATGAGCTTGGACCTGAGGCCATTCAAAAAGCCAGTGTCTTGTGGTCTGCACTTGACCTTCCCAGGAGGGCCATCTCAAATGGTTGGTGGTGTGAAGGCTGCTCCTCACAGCCCGTGAGGCCAGCGACCCTGGAAGATTGTTTCATATTGCCAACAAGAGAGTGAGTGTTTCCCCAGCCAGATGAAGTTTCCTTCTATAACGCCATTTTGCATGGCTAACAGGAGCCAGTGTGAGGCTGCTCCCTGGGGAATAGATGGACACAGCAAACAATACTTTCCTGGCACTATGAAGAAACCACAGATTGATTTGTAAAACTAAGACAAAATCTGACTTCACCTGGTCCTCAGACAAGCCCCCATCTAGAGGGAGGCCAGTTTTTAAAAAACAAGTCACAAGGGCCCGGTACAGTGGCTAACACCTGTAATCCCAGCACTTTGGGTGGCCAAGGTGGGTGGTTCACTTGAGGTCAGGAGTTCGAGACCAGCCTGGCAAACTTGGCAAAACCCCATCTCTACTATAATTAGAAAAAATTAGCCAATCATGGTGGCATATGTGTCTGTAGTCCCAGCTACTCAGAGCCTGAGGCAGGAGAATCGCTTGAACCTGGGAGGCAGAGATTGCAGTAAGCCAAGATCGCATCACTGCACCCCGGCCTCAGTGACAGAGGAAGACTCTGTCTCAAAAAACCACTTTGGAAGACTGTTTCCTATACCAGGATGTGGCCTTTTGATATGGCAACTACATAAAAGCCCAAATCATGAGAGGTTTGGGGAAGCCTGTGCAACCAGGTCAGAAGACTGATGCGGCCAGAATGCCACTTCACCATGCTGCCAACATAAGGCCTTGTAGGAGGCTATAGTTTTATTTTATTTTTTGAAACACGGTCTCACTCTGTCACCCAGACAGGAGTACAGAGGCAGAAACATGGCTCACTTGCAGCCTTTAACTCCTGAGCTCAAGCAATCCTGCTTCAGCCTCTGGAGTAGCTGGGGCTACAGGTGTGTGGCCCCAGCTGATTATTTTTTTAATTGTTTTAGAGACAGGGTCTTGACATGTTGCTGGTCTCACACTCTTGGGTTCAAGCAGTCCTCCTGTTTCAGAGAACAGTGTATAACATCAATCTTCAGGCCTTTGGGGAGGCCATTTCAAGTGGCTTATACAGAGGCAATCTGAAAAGCCATTTTGAAAACAAACTTACACAGCCATCCTGAGGCCTCCGTCTCTGGAATACCATATATTGTCAACATAAGTATCTCTGACGACCTTTTTATAAGGCCATTCATTGAAGAACTCTGCATTAAAGAATAATAATAAAGCTATTTCATGTGGCCAAGAAGAGATTGTTTGAACAGCCAACTCACAGTTTTAGGAGGCCATCTTTCCCAGAAGGCTATGTCCATCAGCCTTCTACGTGAGGTCTCCGAGGCCAATTTGCAAAGGAGCAGGTAGGCTGCCTTAGGAGGCAGTTTATGAAGACCAAACATGAGGCCACCCTGGGAGGCCAGGTGACAAAGCAGCACATGGGGCCACTGGGGGAACCTGGTTACAAAGCCGCACACCTGAGGCCACCTTGAGAAGCTGGCTTTGTAAGGCAGATGGGCGCCCTGTGAAGGGCAGTTTTCTGAGGTCACCCTGGAGCACCAATTTACAAAGCCCATAATAATCTGCATTGCAGGGAATGAGTTTAGAGCCCATTTGAAACCCTCTGGGAGGCCATGTTCTAAGGCCATCAAGAGACAAGTTCATAAAGCTGCTACATCGGGCCCCAGTCTCCATGTACCAAGAGCACATCACTGCACTCCAGCCTGGGTGACAGAGGAAGACTCCATCTCAAAAAACCACTTTGGAAGACTTTTATAGTAATGCAATAACTGTCCCCTGGGAGGCCTTTTAAATGGCCTTTATGAGAAGCCAGGATATGAGGCTCCTGAAATCTCCTGGATGCTCAAGATGAGACTTCTCCATGTTGCCCTATAACCTTCATGTAAGACACAGCAGATGAGCCAAGAGGTGCCCCAAGGAGGCCAGGGATGGTCCCATGTGGTATCTTGTGCTGGCCTAATGGAGAAGTCCGTGCTGGAACTTGGACTGTGAAACTCTCCAAGAAGGTTGTGAATGAGGCCAGCACAAGCGACCTATGAGCCTTCTAGGAGGCTAGAGAGAGAACCCATCCTGGCAGTCTGGGGTGCTCTGGTCCTACCACACCCTGAGCTTACTGGAAAGGATGCTCATTGTGAACCAAGGACTGAGCTTAGCCCTGTGGATACAAAGTCCAGAGAGCTCACCCTTGAGGTCAGTGAGTGTTCTGGGTAGAGCTGCTTCTTACTGTGTAGTTTGGACAAATTGCTTAACCTCTGAAATCTCAGTTTATTCATCTGTAAAACTCCCATTGTAGGACTGCAAGGGATGTGTTCATATAGGTCAAGCTTGCAGGGTTGCCATGCCACATAGGAGAGGGTGCTGAGATCAACTGGAATTTAAGCCCTGCTTCTGTACAAATGATGGACCAAAGGGCTTAGGGCAAGTCACTTCTTTTTTTTTTTTTTTTTTTTCGAGATGGAGTCTGGCTCTGTCTCCCAGGTTGTGCAGTGGTGCAATCTTGGCTCACTGCAGCCTCCACCTTCTGGGCCACGCAATTCTCCTGTCTCAGCCTCTCAAGTAGCTGGGATTACAGATCTGTACCACCACACCCAGCTCATTTTTATACGTTTAGTAGAGACACAGTTTCACCATGTTAGTCAGGCTGGTCTCGAACTCCTGACCTCAAGTGATGCACCACCTCGACCTCCCAAAGTGCTGGGATTACAGGCAGTGTGAGCCACTGCACCTGGCCTTTTTTTCTTCTTTTTTTTTTTTCAATTTAGGACAGGATGTTGCTCTGTCACCCAGGCTGATGGCATGATCTCAGCTTATTGCAACCTTTGCCTCCAGGCTTAAGTGATCCCCCCACCTTCAGCTTCTCAAGTAGCTGGGACTACAGGCATGTACCGCCATGCCCAGCTAATTTTTTATATTTTTTATAGAGACAGGGTCTTGCCATGTTGGCCAGGCTGGTCTTGAACACCTGAGCTCAAGCGATCCACCTGCCTTCGCCTCCCAAAGTGCTGGGATTACAGGCATGAGCCACTATGCCAGCTTCCTCGAATACTTTTCAAAGTCCTGCACTCCTGAGTGCCTGCCATGAGGCAGACTCTGCATTTAGGCTCTGGGGAAGCATAGGGGAAGGGCTGCGTTCTTACCCTGGAGGAGCCAGCAATGCAGTGTTGAATAGACAACATGTAAGCAGGTGTATTTCATACATCGTCACAGGTGCTAGAAAGAGAAGCTCAAGGGCTGCAGGAACACAGAACACTGTTGGAGAATCTTGGCAGGTCTCACATACAGGTGTTTAAGATGGGCCTTAAAGGTTGGGTAGGAGTTTGCCAGGCAGCGGAGGGGTATGGGAGGCAGGGCAGACAAGGACAATATACACGTTGCTTTCTGAACACACATTTGTCCAGTGCTCGCTGAGTACCAGGTGTTGTAACAGGCCCTGAAGATACAGCAGTGATACAGACAGAAGGGGGCCGTCCCTTCCAGAGGTCCCCAGCAGAGAAGACCACTGTTGAAAAATCCTCCCAGATGAGATGCAGGAAGCTGCAGGAAGGCACAGGGGACAGGTCTGTCCTGGTGTCTAACTCTTGTTTCTCTCCGCCTCCCCAGGCACGGGACCGACTGAGCTGGCAGTGGCCCAATGGCTGGAGACACCCACTGCCCTGAAGAGCCCCTAGCCGGAGAAGGCACTCTTTGGGAGGCCCTCAGGGCACTCCTGCCACACACTAAAGAAGACCTGAAGCTGGACCTCGGGGAGAAAGTGGAGAGGAGCGTGGTGACGCTGCTGCAGCAAGCCACTGAGCTCTTCTACAAGGGCAGGAGGGCCGAGTGTCTGCAGACCAGCGAGGTGATCCTGGACTACTCCTGGGAGAAGCTCAACACGGGCACGTGGCGGGACGTAGACAAAGACTGGCGCCAGGTCTACGCCATGGGCTGCCTCCTGAAAGTCCTGTGTCTGTGCCAGGCACCTGGGGACGCCACCACTGTGGCTGCAGCCCTGCGGGTCTGTGACATGGGCCTGCTGATGGGGGCAGCCATCCTGGGGGACGTCCTCCTTAAAGTCGCTGCCATCCTCCAGGCACACCTCCCTGGAAAAAGGCCTGCCCACGGCTCCACCCCGGAGCAGCCCTGCACAAAGGTATGTGGGGGAGATTGTCCCCAAGCACAAGAGCCATCCAGCAACCCTGCTGTTCTAGAAATTCCAAGTTATCTCTCCCCTGGGGTGGAGCCTCATGGCCTGCAACCCCTCTGACGGAAAATAGCATCTCCATTGATTCTGAATTCCTGTTTGTTTTTTGAGGTACGCTCCCGCTCTGTCGCCCCAGCTGGAGTGCAGTAGTGCAATCTCGGCTCACTGCAGCCTCCACTTCTGGGCTCAAGCAATCCTTCTGCCTCAGCCTCCTTAGTAGCTGGAACTATGGATGCGTGGCAACACACCCAGCTTTTTTTTTAGTTTTATTTTTTATTTTTATTCATTCTTTTTTTGAGACAGAGTCTCGCTCTGTCACCCAGGCTGGAGTGCAGTAGCATGGTGTTGGTCACTGTAACCTCTGCCCCCCAGGTTCAAATGCTTCTCTTGCCTCAGAATCTGCGTACCTGGGATTACAGGTGTCTGCCACCATGCCTGGCCAATTGTTGCTTTGTCAGTAGAGACAGGGTTTCACCATGTTAGCCAGGCTGGTCTCAAACTCCTGACCTTGTGATCCACCCACCTCAGTCCCCCAAAGTGCTAGGATTACAGGCGTGAGCCACCACGCCCAGCCTATTTTTTATTTTTTGTAGAGATGGGGTCTCATTATGTTTCCCGGGTTAATCTGGAACTCCTGGCCTAAACGGATCCTTCTGCCATGGCCTCCCAAAGCACTGCGATTACATGTGTGAGCCACCATGCTCAGTCCCCATTGATTTTGAAAATAGACAGCTCCATTCATTTTCTCAAAAAAAAGGAAAACTTCTTTTTCCTTTTTTTTGCAAAAGCAGCGCTCTTTCAGCAGAGAGGCAGCAGGGAAGCTTCATGGTTCCTGAGAGAAAGAGAAACAGCTTAAATAGATTATGTGGGCGAGAGTTGCAGCCAGCAGCGGCCCATTTCTTTCAGCTTTTTCTTGATGGGCTTGCTGAAGTCTCACCCAGGCAAGGTGATACCTCTGGCTGCTCCCATCTCTCTGCTCCTGGGTTTGAATGAGATACTACAAGTAGCTGACATCTGTTTTGGGGATCGATCTTGCCCACCCCTTGAGTCTATGTCTGTTCCAAAGACCACCTCCATGAACAGAACATGGTTTACTCCTCAGGCCCTGGTGCTGACATACAAGCCTCACAGCAACCCCAAGCAAGTCACTTAACCTCCTTCGAGCCTCAGTCTCCTTGTCTGTAAGAGTGGCAGAGTACCGACCCACAGAAAGAAATGGCTAAGACTGTACTAGACACTCAGTACTGGAATTATGGGATGTTTTTGACATTTTTTCTAAATGCTTTGCTATGTTTTCAGAATTTCCTACAATACATATTCTTATTCTTATTATTGAGATGGCGTCTCACTCTGTCACCCAAGCTGGAGTGCAATGGCACAGTCTGAGCTCACTGCAACCTCTGCCTCCCAGGTTCAAGTGATTCTCCTGCCTCAGTCTCCCAAGTAGCTGGGATTATAGGTGCCTACCACCACAACCGGCTGATTTTTGTATTTTTAATAGAGACGGAGTTTTCACCATTTGGCCAGGCTGGTCTCAAGCTCCTGACCTCAGGTGATCTGCCCACCTCAGCCTCTCAAAGTACTGGGATTACAGGTGTGAGCCACCACGCCCGGCCACATATTATTTTTATCTAAGAAAAATGCAAATGATTGTCAGTAAACACACATGCATGTAACCAAAATAAAACAAAATCCAATAAAGGGAGAAGAAAAATTGTCAACAAATATGTCAGACAATGAATATCTCTATTATGTAAGGAATGGTACAAATCAATAAGGAAAAAATCTTGAGCCCCAGGAGGTAGAAGTCGAGGAGCCTGAACAGACTGTTCACAAAATGAAAATAGATCATGCAGGAAAATATTCAACCTCACCTCGGGTTAAAAAAATGAAAGAGGGGAACAGGCATGGTGGCTCACGCCTGTAATCCCTGCACTTTGGGAGGCCGAGGCCAGCGGATCACCTGAGGTCAGGAGTTCAAGACCAGCCTGGCCAATATGGTGAAATCCCATCTTTACTAAATGTACAAAAATTAGCCAGATGTTCTGGCACACACCTGTAATCCCAGCTACTCTGGAGGCTGAGTTGGAAGAATTGCTTGAACCCAAGAGGTAGAGGTTACAGTGAGCCGAGATCACACCACTGCACTCCAGCCTGGGTAACACAGCAAGACTCTGTCTCAAAAAAAAAACATAGCTTACTGCAGCCTCGACCTCCCAGGCTCAGGTGATTTCTCCTGCCTCAGCTTCCCGAGTGGCTGAGACTACAGGTGTGCACCACCACGCCCGGCTTTTTAAATTTTTTCTAGAGATGGAGGTTTCTCTATGTTGCCCAGGCTGGTCTTAAACTCCCAGGCTCAAGCAGTCCTCCCACCTTAGCCTCCCAAAGTGCTGGGATGACAGGCATGAGCCACCATGCCCAGCCATTCCCCAGCAGTTTCACACCTGTGGACACTAGACACTGAGGCCTCAAACAGCAAGTAACGCCTCAGGTCACCCAGTTGGGAGATAGTTAAGTAAATGATGGTGCAGCCACCCCTAAAAAATTGCAAGGACTGGGTGGCCATGTGGAAACTGCTTTTGATAAATGGATGGGAGAGGCAGGGCTGCTGCTTCATTGTGGCTGTTACTCCCAGCGGGTCAGAAACTGTGTGTGTTTGTATGTGTGTATGTGCGTGTGTGCGTGTGTATGTGCCTGTGTATGTGTGTGTGTGCATATGTGCCTGTGTATGTGCTTGTGTATGTGCATGTGTGTATGTGTGCCTGTGTATGTGCATGTGTGTGCTTGTGTATGTGCGTGTGTGTATGTGTGTATGTTTGTATATGTGTGTATATGCATGTTTATGTACTTGTGTATGTGCATATGTGTGTGTTTGTATATGTGTGTATATGCGTGCATGTTTGTGTATGTGCTTGTTTGCGTGCATCTGTATGTGTGCATCTGCATGCGTGTGTGCATGTATGCATGTGTATGCATGTGTGCATGTGTGTATCTGTGTGTGCATGTGTGTGTGGTGTATGTGTGTGTATGTATGTTTGTGTGTGTGCGTGTGTGCATGTGTGTGTGGTGTATGTGCGTGTATGTATGTGTTTGTGTGTGTGTGCGTATGTGTGTGTGGTGTATGTGCGTGTATGTATGTGTTTGTGTGTGTGTGCGTATGTGTGCATGTGTGTGTGGTGTATGTGCGTGTATATATGTGTTTGTGTGTGTGCGTATGTGTGCATGTGTGTGGTGTATGTGCATGTATGTGTGTGTGCGTATGTGTGCATGTGTGTGATGTATGTGCGTGTATGTGTCTGTGTGTGTGCGTATGTGTGCATGTGTGTGTGGTGTATGTGCGTGTATGTATGTGTTTGTGTGTGTGTGCGTATGTGTGCATGTGTGTGTGGTGTATGTGCATGTATGTGTGTGTGTGTGTGTGCGTATGTGTGCATGTGTGTAAGATGGGAAAAGAATATGCAGGAATGAAAAGACCTTAAGTTGATGAAGTTGGGGAACAGTAAGTTTTCCTTTATTGCAGAATTTCTGTGAAAGCAGTGTATTATATTACTTTTATAATGAAACAAACATTTTTAATGAAATAGCTAAGAAAAAACCCACCTTGATCTCACGAGGAGCAAATAGCAGTAGTAGCAGTAATGACGTACTTTGTCTATTGTTAGGGACTCATGACAGCCAAGCTCTTTTACCCCTGACACAGGTTCCTGGTGGAATGCCCCAAATGTTGACTTCCTGAGACGGCTGCTATTTCATTCTGTTTTGATTTTAAACAGAAAGCAAGGACGGACCGTGGTTCAATTCCAGATGTGAAGTTAGAAAAAGCAGTCCCCCAGCTGCACTGCCCATCCCTTCAGCATTTCAGGGAGCAGTTTTTGGTTCCAGAGAGGCCCGTGATCCTGAGAGGCGTGGCTGACCACTGGCCGTGTATGAAGAAGTGGAGGTGGGTGGTCACTGAGGGAAGTGAGGTCCCTCTTCCCATTTTCATGTTCCCCAGGGCTCCCTGAATTCATCCCCCAGCCATCCCCCGGGAAATGCCACCTTGTAGATGCTTCACTAGTGGCCCTTGACTAATTGCCAAGGGTTAAAAAAGATTGAAGAGTAAGGTGCTCTGAATTTCCGCAGCAGGTTACGGGGTGCTTACCTTCTACCACTTGCTCGCCCTAAGCGGTGTTTTAACGAGTCCCTAAGTGGCAGTGTCTGTTATACCATTTTGTGGGATCCTAGCAGTTTCAGACCATCTCAGGGCCCTGAAGCTAAGCGTAGAAATAGCCCAACAGACAGTCTCTCTCTGTATCTGAGGGATTCCATGGTCTCCTGTGTTGGTTTCTAGTCCTTTCTCAGATTCACGATGGGGCGATCAGATCAGGCAGCTGGAGCGTGGCTGTCATGCCGTGACTCTGCATGAGTTTGGAAATAGGGAGGCATCTCTCAAGGAAGGTAGATGGAGTCAGCCTGTTTTGTGGTTTAGCAGAGGGAATGCTACCCGCTGAGACGCGTGGAGGAATTCTCACTGCAGGAGCCCTCCTCACGGCAAGCCTTCGTGAAGCATTTTGCTATGTATACCTGGCACTAGGACAGCTGCTGTCATCACCCCCATTCTGTAAATGGGGATCAAGGACTCGCAGAGGTTCAGTAACCTGCTGCGGATCCGCTGGTCTAACTGAGGAGGCCTGGAATTAGTCAGGCTGGAGTGCAAAGCTCAGTGGACGTCACTTCACCACTCCCCGCACTGCCACTATTTGTTCAAAGGTTTCTCAGCTTAGTGACAAAATGAGCAAAGAAAGAAGGGAGGAGGCCGTTGGCAAGCAGGGAACTAGAGCAGCCCAGCCAGCCAGACTTACCGGCCCTATCTGCAACGCTCCACAGCACTGTGTATGAGCTGTATAGCTTGAGCCAGGAAGCCCGCCTCTCCGTGCCCGTTTCCTCATCAGTGAAGAGCAGGATGACGGTCCCCGTCTCTGCTCGCGAGGTTTCCTGAGGATGAAAGGGAACCACATATAAAGCACACTTAGTACTAAACCCAACAAATATTAGCAGTGATGACACCAAAGCATATCTTTCTGCTAGTTTGGAGTATATCCAGGAGATCGCTGGCTGCCGAACCGTCCCGGTGGAAGTTGGTTCCAGGTACACAGACGAGGAATGGTCCCAGACACTCATGACGGTCAATGAGTTCATCAGCAAATACATCGTGAATGAGGTACGTCATGGGGACTGCTTTCCCCTAATACTTGCAAGGGAGAGAGCATAGTACATTTAGGCAAATAGCCCTTCATGCATTGCAGTGGGAGGTTTTAGAGGAGTCAGTCTGGAAGTCTGTGGTCCTGGGATGACCATGGCCAGCAGACATTAGGGATTTATTTCAGGTCCTTTTTTAGGGTAGGGGAGTATAATTCAGTGGGTTTCAGTCTGTTCCAAAAGTTGGACCTCAAAGTCAAGAGCATGTATTTAAAGTTTTAATAGTGGCCAAGCATGGTGGCTCACATTGTAATCCCAGTACTCTGGGAGGCTGAGGCAAGCAGATCACTTGAGGCCAGGAGTCCAAGACCAGCCTGGCCAACATGGTGAAACCCTGTCTCTACTAAAAATACAAAAATTAGCCGGGCGTGGTCGTGCGTGTCTAATCCCAACTACTAGGCAAGTTGGGGCAGGAGAATGTAGAGAGGGGAAGGGAGGGAGAAGGGGGCAGAAGGGGAAGGGAGGAAAGGTTCTCCCAAAAGTTAAATCACTTATACTTTCATTAGCAATTAACACAAGCGTCCACTCAGTGTTGCCATTTTATGAAAATGTTTGCCAATCAGGTGGATGAGATCAGTGCTTTACGAAGGGCGTTCCCAGTGCTGGAGAGGTTTTTTAAAGCTGCTCCAGGGCCTCTGAGGGTTGGAGAGGACCACTTAGGATGGAGTGGAAGGGTGGCAGGGGCTGGGGCCAGCTGGACAGCAGCAGCAGCAGCAGGAGGGCATCTGTCATGACTGACTGGGCTTTCTGTGTCGCCTCTGGTTTTCCCCGGTGGATTAGCCGAGGGACGTCGGGTACCTTGCTCAGCACCAGCTCTTTGACCAGGTAAGTCCAAGACCATGCTCCTCTGTCCTTCACATTCTCCCCTTTCCTCCCCTCCCGGGCTCAGTGCAGCCAGAACAGTGGATGTGGGGAGGAGGGAGGCAGCAGGTGAGGCTGGGAAGGCAGCAGGACCTGGCTGACAAGGAGCCATTTTCCTAAAGTGATAGTCACCAGTGCTCTACAGATTGCAGGGGCCGCTGTTCGGAGATGAAGGGAGCAGCTGTCAGAGCAGGAGGCTGGCTGGGCTGTTGCTGTGGTCCAGGGAGAGGTGATACCGGCACGGGGAGCAGTTCAAGATAGGTGTGAACCACCAGGCCCTGGACGTGGGCGGATGCGTGGGGATAGGAGGGAAGATCAGGGAAGACACCCAGATTCAGGACCCCAAAACACTAAATAGATGGGGCTGGAGTGTGCAGGAGGGACCTGGCTGGTGTGGTGTCTGCCAGGAGTGTCCAGGGAGGCAGCACTCAGCAGGATTCAAGGACAGGACCAGGCACATTCCCTGAACGTGGAAAACTCAAGTCAGGGCCACAGTCAAGGCTGCCTCTGCAGCCTTTGCGGGTGGCCCTGACTTGCTACTCAGCTGCTGCATCTACTGCCGAAGCCAGGACTGCCGACTCTCTGTCTTGATGGGGGAGGCAGGGCCAGTAGGGGCTGTGCCAGGACCTTCCATGCTGACATTAAAGGAAGCTGGCGGTTTCTCTTCCCCAGGCCTCTCTCTTAGGACTTATGCCCCTGCTTCCTGTCCGTGTCACTTGATAAGTGAAGGAGAGGGGGATTGATCAGGTCCCTACTGTGTGACCCCAAGACCCGCCTTTCCCCTGACCCCAGTCATCCTGGGGTGTGGCCTCACTGTGGGCTGGGGTCCCTGGAAGCCGCAGTTAACCTTGGCTCCCTGTCCTGGAGCAGCTGAAGTGGCCTTCTAGTGTGTTTTCAGCCTGAGATCCTGGCTCTGTCTAAAGGGGCCAAGGCCGTGTGCAGTGGTTCACACCTGTAGTCCCCGCGCTTTGGGAGGCCAAGCAGGACCTCCTGTTTCCTATTTCCTAGGACAGGAGGAGGCCTATGTAGTAGTGGAAGGCCACGTTCACAGTGACTTTCAAGATAAAGCAGGACTTAGATGCTTCAGGTAATGGAGCACCGCCTGGGTGTTAGTTTAACTTGGGTCCTGGAGGTGAATGTCCACTGTGCTGTGGAGAGGACCTTGGAGAAGTCCCAGCATTCCGTGCCCAGGTGCTGTCATGCCACGTGGCAAGGATGATGTTCTAGGACCTTCTCTACCTCCAGGACACTCAGGGACTCCTACCAAGTTCTTGTCCAAGAACCTCTTATTGACTTTTCTCCCAGAGACCCCATGTTTTAGAAGATTCTGGCCATCAGTTTAAGCCCACCTCAATTATCAGTCACATCCCAGTGGCACGGATTCCCCTGGGGCCTCTGCATCCTTGGCCAGTGATTTTGATGACATATGTGGTCAGCCAATCACTTTTCAGAAATCCTGATGATGTCATCAGGGACCAATCAGAGCTTCTGCTTAGATTCCACAGGGCCAGGTCTGGTCGGAAGCAGCAGTGGCAGGTGTTACCTTTGGGAGGAGCCCCCCACATCCCTGGGAGGGCCCTCAGCTTGTGAACTTGTACTTCATCCCTAAGCAGCAGGTACAGCTGCGTTTCTGTACAGCTGATTTGAGACAGTTTCCTAAAGGACTGAACAGCAGTGTCTGGGATGAAGCATCCTGTGGGGAGGACATTCCAGCTTTTCCCGGTACACACTGGTTTCTGAGCCAGCCGCCTGAAATTACCATCACTGCTCCTGAAGGAATAGTAGTGTCCACCTGCAAATGCCTTCAGGCTGGGAGCAGTGACTCTAAAAAGACCTGTGTCCCCCTGGCAACACTGTTTTCATGCCTTTCAAGCTTGAAAACCGCTGCCAGGTCCAACCAGGGTCCTATAAAGAACCCTGGGTTCTTGGTGGCCTGCTCTGGTGGGTTCAACCCCAGAGGTAACAGGTGCCTACTAAGGGTTTGCATCGGAAGTGGGCTTAGAGTGAGTGTGTTTTCACTCTGAGACCCTGGCATTGTCTAAAGGAGGCCAGAGCCATGTGCAGTGGCTCACACCTGCAGTCCCAGCACTTTGGGAGGCCAAGCAGGACCAGCCTAGATAACATAGCAAGACCCCATCTCTACAAAAATAAAATTAGCCAGGCACAGTGGCATGCTCCTGTGGTCCCAGCTACTCAGGAGGCTGAGGCAGGAGGATCACTTAAGCCCTGCAGGTCAAGGCTGCAGTGAGCCATGATTGCACCACTGCACTCCAGACTGGGTGACAGAGCAAGACTGTGAAAAAAAAATTATAATACATAAATAAAGGAGGGCAGGCCACCACAGCCCTCCCCGACCATGAATATCCAAGATCGCCTGATGTGTGGCATTCAGCTCTGTCGGAGGCCAGGGGAAGCCGCCTCTTTCTTACTGCTTCATACAAATTTCAGAGCACAGACCATGTGCTGCCTTTCTGCACAGTCCATGCCTGCCTTTCTCATCAGTTGGTGTCTCTGTCTAGCCTGTTTCTGCCAGGTATGGCAGCAAATCCTCTGTGCCTACCCTGGCTTTGAAACCTAGCAAGGCGAGGGCCGGGTGTGGAGGCTCACTCCTGTCATTCCAGCACTTCGGGAAGGCGAGGCAGGTGGATCACTTGAATCTAGGAGTTCAAGACCAGCCTGGGCAATCTGGCGAAACCTTGTCTCTACAAAAATTAAGAACAAATTATCCAAGCATGGTGCTGCATGCCTATAGGCCCAGTTACTGGGGAGGCTGAGATGGGAGGATCACTTGAGCCCAGGAGGCAGAGGCTGCAGTGAGCTGAGATCACACCACTGCAGTCCAACTTGAGAAACAGAGCCAGACCCTGTCTCAAACACACACACACGATGGATATAGTTGTGTGTCTCTGACTCTTAGTTGTTTTCTGGGCTACTATGTCCCTGGGCTGATCCCCGCCTCTCACGTCTGCTTTGCTGCCCACAGATCCCGGAGCTGAAGCAGGACATCAGCATCCCCGACTACTGCAGCCTGGGCAATGGGGAGGAGGAGGAGATCACCATTAATGCCTGGTTTGGTCCCCAGGGAACCGTCTCCCCGCTCCATCAGGATCCCCAGCATAACTTCCTAGTCCAGGTGGGAGCTGCCGCAGGAACAGCGGGCCTCCTGTCCCCTGGCTCAGTCACCAGGCCGGCCACATTCCCTGCCTTTAAACACCAGGCTCTTAAAAACAAACAAGAAGCACTGAAGGGGACGAGAACAAAAATATAAAACAAACCCAGAAACGGTCCCAGGCCTGGGGAGGCCTCTGCAGTCGGCTGCTTCCAGAAGCGGCTGCTCCTGCCTGTGCTTACCCCAAGGTCCCTCGCAGGGAGCCCTTGGGGAAGGGGGTGGGTGAGTGCTGGCACAGCTGCCCAGGTGTCCCTCCTTCACCCTCCCCCACCTGCCACCCATCTGATCCAGACCAGCTTGCAAATAGGAGACGGCAGGTTAGGAGAGGAGTTTTCCCGAGACCCAGGCAGAGGAGCAGATGGGTTTGCTGTAAAGGGAGGCGCCTCTGTCTACTGCTGTAAGACCACCTTGGTTTTCACAGGCAGAGAGAGGTTTAGTAAAGGAGAACGTTCTTCTAGCACAGCAGACCAGTCCAGTGAGGCGGTCCAGGAGAGGGCTAAGAGCTGAGCTTCAGGAGCCAGCCTGCCGGGCGCAGACTCCAGCCCTGCCACCGCTTAGCTGTGTAAGCTTGGGCAGCTCATTTAACCCCTCTGTACCTCAGTTTACAAAAAGGGAGTGAAGATAAACCACCTCAGAGAGGATTAAACCACTTAACACACATAAAGTACTTAAGCAGTGCCTGGCACAGTCAAGGGCCTACTAACTGTGGGCTCCAAAAACGAAGTTATTATTCATAATGGATTTGGAGGAAAAACATACTTTTAGGCAGAGTTTGGTCCTTCATACCTATAATCTCAGCTCTTTGGGAGGCCGAGTCAGGAGGACCCCTTGAGGCCAGGACTTTAAGACCAGCCTGGGTAACATAGTGAAACCCCATCTCTACCAAAAATAAAAATACAAAACTCAGCTAGGTGTGGTGGGGCACACCTGTAATCCCAACTACTGGGGAGGCTAGGGCAGGAGGATCTCGAGGCCGGGAGGTCGAGGCTGCAGTGAGCCCTGATTGCACCAGTGCACTTCCAGCCTGGATGACCGAGTGAGACCCTGTCTCTATAAAATAAAAAGGAAAGAAAAACATACACGGGGAACTGTAAGCATGTGTTTGTTGGGAAGGGCAGACTGGGCATAGGGAGCAGCATGTGGAAGGGCACAGAGGCCAGGACGGGTGGGGGCAGCAGCGGAATGAGGCCACCAGCTGACTATTGGGGTCTCTCTTCCCAGGTGATGGGGAGGAAGTACATCCGGCTGTATCCCCCGCAGGAGTCAGTGGCTCTGTACCCTCATGACACGCACCTTCTGCATAACACAAGCCAGGTAGGCACTGGGGGTCTGGGGTGACGTTGCAGGTTCTCCCCACTGCCCCTGGAGAGGATAACATCTTTTACTTTCTTCAGGTGGATGTGGAGAATCCCGACCTGGAGAAGTTCCCCAAGTTTGCCGAGGCTCCATTCGTGTCCTGTATCCTGTCTCCTGGAGAGGTCCTGTTCATCCCGGTGAAATACTGGCACTACGTGCGAGCTCTGGATCTGAGCTTCTCAGTCAGCTTCTGGTGGTCATAGCCAGGATAGGAGCTGAAAGGGCCTGGCTGACGTGCAGACAGCATTCATCTGTTCACGGATTTCCTGTTCTGTGGCCCCCCTGCTGCTACAGAGACAAGCAGGACTGAACCTGTGCCCTGAGGAGCCTTCACTGCCCCGTGGCAGCCCTGAGGGGTCGAGCTCCAGCGAGGGACAGGCACAGAGCGGGGACTGCCCAGAAAGGGGCACACTCCAGCCCCAGGGGTGCATGGCAGAGGAAGGTGGGGAGAGCCCAGAAGGACATTGCAGGCAGGCAGCCGGCACGGGGGTTCCAGCATCAGAAAGCCTAACGTGCTTGGGAAACAGGCGGGTTACATGGGCAGGGGTGAAATGTGGGCTCTGAGGTGGCTAAGGCAGGAGGATGGCTTAAGCCTTCCAAGTTGAGGCTGCAGTAAGCCGTGATTGTACCACAACACTCCAGACTGGGTGACAGAGCAAGACTGTCTTTGAAAAAAAATTTTAATAAATAAGGAGGCTGGTTGAGTCAAGCCCAGCCCCACTGTGTACCTGCTGTGTGACTTGGCCAGGATCCCTCACTTCACTGTGCCCGCATGGAAAAGACGCAAGGCCAGCCCTCACTGCAAGGGCCGAGGAGGCGGTGCCGAGCCCCTGCTGCTGCAGGAACCTCAGCTGCTGTCGCTGATCACAGTTAATCTGATGCTTCTGCCCTTCCTTCCCATAACCGAGCCTGCTGGAGCCACAGCCTGAAGACTGGAGAGAGAGCCAGGCGCTGCCCCGGTCAGAGGGGAGAGTCCGTAGAGACCTGCTCAGGAGCCCGGACCCCTGCTGGGTGGCGGGAGATTTCTGTCATCCTCATGGCTCAAGGATAACCTACCTGCCTGCAGAGAAGTTCACGGGTCTTCTGACTGGATGACTGCTCACCCAGGATCAGGCTCCCAAGTCGGGAAGCTACCAGACCACTAGCAGCCACTAGAAGCTCCCCCCCCCCCGCCCCACCCACTCCAGTTGCCATCCCCCTCAAACCAGGGGAGGGTTTGAGGCCATGCTTTCTGTAAGTGTGTTGTGTACATGCAGGTTTATGTTTTGGCCATTAAGACTTTCCCCAGCCCTCTGTTTTGTTTTTTAAACTAAATAGAGATGGGATCTCACTGTGTTGCCCAGGTTGGTCTTGAACTCCTGGGCTTAAGCAATCCTTCTACCTTGACCTCCCAAAGTCCTGGGGTTACAGATGTGAGCCACCATGCCAGCCTTGGCTGCTTTCTCCCTTCCAAGATAGGTCTGGGGAAAAGAGCCCCGAGGGTTCAGCTGCTATCCTGCCAGCACCTTGACCCACAGGCTCAGCTGCTTGTCTTTCAGCCCAAAATCAAGAAGCCCCAGGACAGATTCTGGTTGGGGGGTGGGGGGAAGGGGGCGTGTGTAGCTACCCTGGGGTAACTAGAAGGGGTATGGGAAGGTGGTGGCAGGCAGCTAGAACTCCAGCTCCTGATGCCCTCCGTACCCAGGCCAAGGAGTTTGTCCTTCATCCTGTAGGTCCTGGGGTTCTCGACCTTTGGGCCGACACCAGCAGAAACTGCGTTCTCGAAAGCTGGCTGTCGGCAAGGAGAGGCCGTGGCTCTTACTCATCCTGGGAGTGGGCTGTTGAGGAGCCATGGGCGCGGCAGAGCGTGACAAACGAGCTATCTGGAAGCGGAGTTCATTTGCTCTGTGCGTAGCTGCAAGGACATTGTTGATTCCCTGCCATTGTTAGTCATTTCCTAGTCTTACATAGGAAGAATTTATACCAGATGTCAACATCCCTGAAAGTAGCGAGGCATAAAACAGGGATGCCCCCATGCCTAGCTTTGCCATTAGTGAGGAGCGGTGGCTGCCCAGACACAGAGGGCTCTGACTCTCGGCCCACGTGTATAACTCGCGCCCCTTCCCCAGCTGAAGGACAGGCGGGCTGTGGCCCCAGCTCCCAGTGCCCCTGCCTCCTGCTGGCAGGCCCCACGGTCCATCTGTAGTGCAGCGTGACAAAAAGCTGGGCACAGGAGGCCACATTCATTAACAGTATCCAGGTATCCAGGCCACATTCATTAATGGTATCCAGTGGTATCCAGGCCAGGAGGCCTCAAGCAAATGTCCTTGTCAGATGGGAGGAATGGGAAGGGGACATGGTCCTGCCCTGTCCCCTTCTTGCTGAGGTTCCAGTGTTCCTAGGAACCCGAGGATGGCTTCTGAAGTCAGCTTAGAACCCAAGCGCCAGTCACAGACCAAGGAGAGACACATATGCGAGCCCCCACCCAAGATGTGGCCACAGCTGTCAGGACACTGAGACTGCTACCATGAACATAGGACACAGCTAGCATGTCTGTCACTGACCAGATGAGGCCCCTGGCCTCGTGATGTTCTAATGCCATGGCGGGTGGTCCAATAAGGACATAGGAATAAAATGAGACAGTGTCATGCCGTGATAAGTGCCATGAGGGCAACAGAGCAGGGTGACGGGGTGAAAAATGGCAGCCAGGGATGGATTGGTGGGGCCAGGGTTTTGTGATAGTTGACATGAGAAGAGCAGGGGCTTGACCAGGAATTCAGAATTGGCTATGAGACTTGAGGCCCAGCCCAACACCAGGTCCAGCAGCCCTGAGACAGGAAAGCCCCAGCCTGGGGACAGAGGAGGGAGGAGCCAGGATGGCTGGAGTAGAGGGAGGGGAAGGTAGGAAGGAGGGCATTGGGGCCACAGGGTCTGCGGTCCAGCAGAGGAATTCACTGGCGGGGGCGCTCAGCCATGGAGGGACAGGTTTGCAGCTGCTGTGCAGACAAGGGCCTAGAAGGGGACCCTGGGAACCAGGCCAGTCCATAATTCCTGAGTGACAAGGTCAGGGGCACCAGCAGGGAGGCATGGCAGAAGAGAAGGCAGGCAGGGTAGTGAAGGCCTTGAATGCCAGACCAGCGCCTGGAACCACTCATGAGGGTTTTGGGTGAGTGACATTGTGTGTTGTGGGACGTTCATGTCAATGTCATCATGGAGGGGCTGGAGGCAGGAGAGACAAGCCGCAGGAGGGCCTGTGTTTCCAGTGGCCAAGTGTCCAAAGGCTTCCTGGGTCCCCAACCAGCACTGTTGAGCTCAAAGAACAAATGACCAGAAGCACCAGACAACTGGGACAGCAGGCAGTCCGAGCTGTTTTGCTGGTTGGCTTTTCGCCTCCTGGCGTCCATTCTTCCAGAACAGCATGCTGATTACATTCTGGAGAATGACCTCTGCCCCAGGGAGCATGGTCCTAGAAGGTCTGAACATCAGCTGCTTCCTGGACCCACCAGCATCTTGAGGGCATGTCGGGAGGAGTGCAGACAGGCTGGGGCTGACGCCCTGCTGTGACTGAATTGTCTTGACATCCACCACCACCGATTCCAAGGTCTGCCTTTTCTAGACTGGTCCTGCCTTCCTGTCATTTCTGCAAGCCACCTCATACGCCTCCAAGAAACTCTCGTGGTGAGGCCAGCCAGGGCTGGCACTGGCTGGAGGCACTGGGCTTACCAATGGGCATGTCTCTGCCCACTGACGAAGGGCTGGGCTGGGTCCCCGGCTGCCTCTCTGATGGGAAGGTGGGCTTGGGGGCTCAGGAGTCCAGACCCGTTTCTGGAAGGTTCAGCCTCCCACCAGCAGGGGTCATTCGTTCACGGAGCCCTGGATGCCGGCTCCAGCCTGGGTTTATGGAGGTGAACGAGGTGGGATGTTCCTGCCTGCCTGCAGCGGAGGCCAGCCACCAATTCACTGTCCAGGTTCACTCCCTGCTGCCTCTGAGGCCATTGACAATCACATCTTCAATTTGCTTTGGGAAAGGCCCCTGCTCTCTCAGCCATGTGGCCTGGAAGGGACAGCCCCGCCTCTCTCTGGAGTGGGTCTGATTCTCTAATGCTAGCAAATCATCCCATCCCCACCTCGCAGGTGTCCACGTGGGAACTATGGGCCATGAGGGTGCTTGCAAGGGCATGGGAGCCACTAAGTGAGAGCCATCCTCTTCCTCCTGATACTAGGGTATGATGTGTGAGGCCCGGAAGCATGGCAGCTATTTTGCCACCATGAAGAAAGCAGCGGGATTTCCAGAAAACCGCCGCGTAGACTCCAAGCATGTGGCCAGCCCAGTGAAAGCAAAGCAGACACAGAAATATGGCTGCCTGCTGACCTCGCTGGAACCCCTAGACCAAGCCTCTCCTCAGGACCCGCGGTCAGTCCTTCCTTGTTTCAGCCAGTCTGAGTTGGCTTTTCTGTCACGACTGAAGCATCCTGACTGACGCTGGGGTTCAAGAGAGGCATGAAGATGGGGACTTCACAAGTGTGAGGATGGAGGAAGTGCAGGGAGCGAGGGGCTGACCAGTGCCAAAGGGTGGATGGGTGCCAGCCAGGAAACAAACCTGGATACCAGAGAGGTGGGCACACAGGCCCAGGGAGCTCTGCAGAGGCTCCAGAGCTGGCGAAGGAAGCACTGCACCCTGAGCAGTGGGTGGGGACAGGCGGTGACGGATGGGCAGGGGCCTCACCAGGGGTCACAGCCTGCTGCCACAGTGGGGGCATCCAGGGGTCTTCCGCAGAGAGCACGGAGGCAGGGTGTGGGTCGGGGCTGGCGCTCAGCCTGAGGCAGCAGCAGTGGGGCCGCAGGGCTGCTGGCAGCTGAGCTGGACAGGATCTGGTGACAGTGGGATGCAGAAGGGTCAGGGAGAGGAAGCATGGAGGCCGGCTCCCAGTCCCGGCTGGGGCAGCTGGATGGCAGGGCTGCTGGGCACCGAAGGGGAGCAGAGAGCCCAGGGAGGGAGAGCACGCATCCTGCCCAGACACCCGGCCTCAGCCCATTCAGACCAGCGGCACCTTGGGCCAGGGGAATCCAGATTGTGGGGAACTGAGGAGGCCAAGGCTCATATATCCAGGCTCGGGCCAGCCCAGTCCTGCTGGGACAGCTGGCCACAGCTGGGACTGGAGGCAAGGCTGTTCTGAGCAATGACAGTGAGCTCCCCTGGGCCACCGCTGGGGGTTCCGGTGGCTTCACCTGCTGGAGCCCAAACCCAGGGGGATCTGAGTGACGACTGAACTCCAGGAAAGAAGGCAAGGCCATGACATGGAGCCTCACACACAGGCTCGAGACCACAGGCGGGGCTGAGCAACTTTGCAGGACGGTTTATTCCAAAGCTGCGGATGGGAAGTTAAGAACAAAGAGGTGACTCGTGTGGAACCTGCAACACAGATGCCTCTCTTCCCAGAAGGGCTGTGACGTTCAGGCCCCCCAGGTGGCCAGCCCCTCGGCAGGGCACCACGGCTAATGCCGCCTGGACCGCAGGGACTTTCTGTTCGATTTCGAGATACCAGGCTCCCTCTCCTTCTCAGGGTCGAAGACTTCTGTACACAGAAAAGGCAGGGAAGACACAGTGAACGGAGGGGCTGGCGACACAGGGGCACCAGCTCAAGCCAGCAGCGACATCTCTTGTGCCAAGGACTCTGTCCTAGGCCTACACCATTCCCACTGCTAAGCCTTCCCAGCCCAGGAGGAAGGCAGAGTGAGCCCCAGTCCACAGAGGAACAAACTGAGGGAGCTGTGGACATGCTTTCGCACCCCCTAAGAGGGCCACCAGAGAGAGCCTTGTCTATGCAAGTGCTCCTGTGCGTAGGAATTTCTACTGGGTTCCAGAAAGCCCTCTGGAACGGTGTAGGCAGCTCCACCTTCACTTCTGCAGTGGCTGCTTCTAGGACTCAAGCTGCTAACACGGACCCCCACACACCATGGAGCGCGTCGGGGGCCGTCTCCAAGGGCTTCCCCCGTGCCAGGCCTGTGTCCTGCTGACCCAGCCCTCCCACAAGCGCCTCCGGCCCAGGCACCTGGGATCTCATGGGGCCAGTAGTCGTTGCAGTGAGGGCAGCGCGGTTCGGCATTCGACCGGAAGTACTTGGCCACGCAGGGTAAGTGCATCCTGATCCCGCAGGTCTCGCAGCTTTGACCCTGAAACAAGAAAGGCCAGTGCCTGTGGAGCTCATGCACACCTCCGTGTTCCGCAAAGCTCCAGGGAAGCTGCAAGGAGAATAGTCAGCAGGCAGCAGGCATCGTGTTACCTTCCGGGCCCCAGATTAATAAATACTGAAAATAATCCCAACGCCTTAGTGCAGTGGAGTCTTTGGTTTGTTTGCTTGTTTGTTGCAGTCGGTTTTACTAAACAATTCTGTATACAGGAATGCAGAGACAGAAGCCAAGGGGCTCGCCAGCTCCTGCACTCAGATCAGATCCTATAGGAGGCGTGTGGACAGCCACAGCTTTTCAGAAGGTTATTTGCTAACATGGATCAAAAGCTTTAAAAAAAAAAGTGCACTTTGTCCCAGAAACTCCACCCAAGGAAATAATCACCAGGTGCCCAAGGATACAGGTGTATAAGGGCTATGTACAACTGCAGTTACAAAATACAACTGCGAAACGACAGAAACTGAAAGGACACATCGACGTCCACGCTGGTTCAGTGGCTGCAAAGCCCTGCAAAACATCGGCGTGAAACAGACTACTCAGGAAAGCAGCATCAATACAGATGCTCACACACAACTGCCAAGACAATGCAGCCTGCACGGAAGACTCAGAAGAGCCTTCCTGAGAATAAAATAAGCGAGAGCCCACGGACTCCAACAGCAGAGCCAGGAGGAGGGGAGGCAGCGCGTCCCTGCGAGCCGCAGTGGGGAGGCAGCCTCTGACACGTCCTGGGAGATGGTCTTGGCCAGATCTCCTAGGAGGAAGCCTGGGAATGAGGGAGGGTTGGGCTCAGAGCCAGGAAGTATGTGTGCAGACCCGGGAGCTGATGGCCTGCCCCATGGGTACCTGGATGAGGAGGCTGTGGCAGATATTGCAGATCTTCACTGAGTCAGGGTACGTCTCCCGGATGTACTGCTCCATCTCCAGGATGGCCCGGCCGTGCAGGGTGAACTCCCCTTCCTTCTGCAGGGACACATGGGAGGCAGCCACCCTCAGCCAGGCCCTCTCCCCACTCACCAACTTCTGTTCCCTCTGCTATCCCACAGCCCAGAGCCCAGGAAGATGCAAGGGTCGAGGCAGCTTTTCCCCAACTCCAGCCAACAGGCATCAGCCACATCCCCCTGGCAGAGCCTCAGCAAGGGAAACTGTGGCAAAGACCCAAAAGGCATAGAGACGAGGTTCCCCTATACCCACCTTTTCTCAGCACCTGCTGTGCCTTCACACCTGACTGCTCCGTCTGCACAGCAGCCACGGGCAAGACAGCCACAGCCCTCCTGCAGGTGAGGACACTGAGGCCCTGGGGTCAGTCTCCCCAGGGTGCGAACCTGAGCACGCACCGCTTCCATCAGCCACCCACCCCACTCCCAAAGAGCAGCATCCCCAGTGCCTCCCAGCACTTCTGCCTCCAGCTGCAGCAGGGACCCTCAGATATCACTTCCAGCCACATCACTTTACAGATGGAGCTGGAAGGAGTCTGGAGAGGGCAGACGGGTCCCATCACACTGTGGGGAGTGGAGCCTCCAGTGGAAGCCAGGCCTCCTGGTTTCCACACAGGGGCGGGCCACCCATCATGCATCCTGAAAACCCTGGGAGAGCAAGGAAGTGCATGAGTAATGCAGCTCCCCAGGCTGACCCTACTGCCAGGTCACAGGAAAGAGACAGCATGGAGGAAGGCCCAAGGGAGGCAAATGACCTGGGACCCAGGACACGGACCTATGCAGGCTGATTCCAGCTTCTCCACAGTCAGCTCATACATTGGACATCAACTGCACCAGGAGATGGCGTCACTGATGCCTGTGAGTCACCTGAGTGCTCAACCGCCTTTTCTGTTATTTTCTAATTTTTACAAGCAAGAGCTGTCACTCCCGTTCCTGACAGGTAGAGCCCCCCACCCCATTCCTGCCTCCATCCCCACAGTGCAGCGTGGAGGGGGTGTGCTTGCGTAACCTGGGCTCACAGTGCGTTCACTCTGGTACACCGGTGAAGGGGTCTGGTGAGCACAGGAAGGGAGACAGGGCAGAGGTTGGGGTGTGCATTGCAGGAGCAGTGGAGGGAGGCCTGGGCACCAGGCACATGTGCCCTACACCATGGCAGTTGCTAGTGCACAGGGGCTTTCTGCCCTTCAAGTGCTGTGGGCACGGGAGGATGTGACCAGCCCCCAGGCCGTCCTCGGTCCTCGGACCTATGGCTGTTACCTTCCCCAAAGCTCCCAGATCCATCATGGCACTCCATCTTCCCGGCCACCGCCCTCTTCCACCCTCCCCTGCTCCTGCTGCTCTCTGAGCCCACTCTCCTCCAGCAACGAGCTCGCTACAAAACAAGCCTGGCCCTGTCACTCTCACCTCACTACCACCCCCCATCCCACTCACCCCCCAGGGCTTCTTACCACCCTTAGGTCCAAGAGCCAAGTCCCTGATGCGCCTATCCCCTGGGCTCCCCTCATCCACTTGCCCCAGCAATCTCTGTGCTCCAATGGCCCTGGCCTCAGCTTCCTGAGCACACCAGCCCCTCTGGCCACAGAGTGGTTGCGGGCTGATGATCCTCCCACCCCAGGCTCCAGGCAACTCCACACAGCCTTCAGCTAGAGTGTCACTTCCTCAGCAGCTGAGGGCTGGTTCCTCTGGGACAGCTGTCATAAAGCCACGTTTCCTTTGTGTCTATACCTGGACTGTAGTGGGATGACCGTCTCACCGTCTCGGGCTGCCCCCGCCAGACATGGCCCCTTGAGAGCAGCCACCAGCTCTCATTTTGCTCACTCCTGTGTCCACAGCACCTGCTGTGGGGCCCAGCATTTGACAGGCCCGCGATAAACACCCACGGGAAGTTGATATAGACCTCGCACTGATCCCAGAGGAATGCCTGACGCTAATGCACATGTTCAAGGTCAGCCTGAGCATGAGACGCATTTTTTTTTTAGTTATTTTAATTTTGAGACAGAGTTTCGCTCTTGTCACCCAGGCTGGAGTACGATGGCACCATCCGCCTCCAGGGTTCAAGCAATTCTTCTGCCTCAGCCACCTGAGTAGCTGGGATTACAGGTGCCCGCTACCACTCGGCTAATTTTTTTGGCATTTTTAGTATAGATGGAGTTTCACTGACCTGTGTGCAATGGTTGTGCTGTGTGCTAGGCACACGCACTCTTGGGTGCAAAGCTGGGTGCAAAGTGTTGTGATTAGGGATGTTGGGGCACTTGGCTTTAGGGGCTTGAGACAACAGGGGACTTCAGTGGGCTTCTTTATGCATCTCTATGTTCTTATCCTCCTGTCACGAGCAGGTATATTTCTTATAACATGGTGAGTTTTAACTCGGTTCCTCTGGAACCTCATCTACCCGTCTGGTTGTCCTTTCAGCAAGCATTCACTGAGTGCCTGAGGTGCCAGCACTACATTCTGCAACGGAGATCAGCCTTGAAGAGGTATAACCCCTGCCCTTAAAAAACTTGGCCCATGGCCAGGCATGGTGGCTCACACCTGTAATCCCAGCACTTTAGCAGGGCGTGGTGGCACATGCCTGTAATCCCAGGTACTCAGGAGGCTAAGACAGGAAAATCACTTGAACCCAGGAGGTGGTGGTTGTGGTGAGCTGAGATCGCACCACTGCACTCTAGCCTTGGCAACAACAGTGAGACTCTGTCTCAAAAAAAAAAAAAAGAACTTGGCCTAAAAAGGGGCTGCACCACAAGCGAGAATGGTTATTTATAACCTAAGCAGACAGAATATTCCCTAGTGCCAAATACAGCCTGGAGGGGAAGAAAAACTGACACAGCCATTGATGGGGAGCTGCAGTCCCAACACCGGCGCCTGAACTTGGCCCTGCCACTCTCAGGGTGTCCAACATCAATGGCATCCAGACCCGAGCTGTCAGCTAAAAACAAAGCTAGTGGAGCCACTGCCAGGCAGCAGGCAGCCTCAGAGACATGACCCCCTGTGACCTCTCCACCTCCTTCTTCCCATCAGGTACCCCAGGAACTGAAATCCGGTCAGGTTCCTGGGACAGGCCCACCCTACATAGAAATTAGCAACTCAGAACCCAAATTTCCCCAGCAAGCACCTAGGAGGGCACAGCTGTGGTCAACTGGGCAAACACTGAGCTGCTGAAAACAGGGCTGCCTTTTGTGGAAAAAGAACTGAAACATTTGATCTGCTGCATTCAGACATGACTTACAGGAATGTACCCAGCATATCCTGCACTCACCAGAGCTCCCAGCCCTGCCCTCGACCCCGTGACCTCTGCCCTCACCCCCTGTCACCTCTCCACCTCTTTCTACCCATCAGGTACCCCGGGAACTGAATTCGGGTCAGGTTCCTGGGACAGGCCCACCCTCCACAGAAATCAGTAACTCAGAACCCAAACTTCCCCAGCCCAGAGGCAAGCCTTCCTGAAACGGAAGCGGAGAATCACCACGGCCACAAGCGGCAGCCTCTGGCCAAGAGTCTGACCACCAAGTGAGGAAGCGGGGCTCAACATCAGGACATCCTCAACACACACGGGCATGGGCATGAGCACAGCTCTGGTCTGCTTTTTGTGGAAAAACTACTCCAACATTGGTTCTGCTGCATTCAGGAGGACTAGACACGGGGTGGGGCAGCATCCAGAAACTGGAGCCACAGTGGGGGCCTGTCCCAAATGTCACAGCCCTTCTCCTGAAGCTTGTCTGTGCCTCCTCTGAGCACAGGCCCTGAGGAACTCGCTGCTGACAATGACACCAGTGGTAACATCGGCAATCCTTCTGCTGCTTCCCCCGCGAGACAGGCAGCCCAGGAGCAAGCACGTTACTGTGTGGTCCCATTCCTGCTCCTTACACACCCAGCCCCGAGGAAGAAACAACAAAGCCCTCTTACAGGGACATGAGGTCACCTGGCTCAGGGATGAGACCCGGGTTAGACATGAGAGCCATGCTTTCAGCCCAGGAAATGCACTGCCTCTCAGTGTGTGGACTAGAGGCCTGAGCCTGGGGCCCAAATCCCTGGATGCAGCTCCTGGCTCTGCCACTTCTGGCCGTGGCGTCTTGAACACATCATGTGAGTGAATGGGGAGTGGGAGGCAGGAGGGGCGGGGCCCAAGTCCTCCCCACGGGTCAGTGCTGGAATGCATGAAAGCAGATAAGGGATCTGAAAAGGCCAGGCTGGACAGACATCGGTTGGCTACAAATCTGATTTTGGACAAATACCATTACTCACTCGAGACACAGTACCTCAATCAGCCACTTGTTTTGGACAAACTTCTGCAGCACCAGCTCCGCTTCCTTCTTCTTCATCTTTTTGCCTTTAAGCTGATCAACCAGGTTCAAAATGTTTGTGGAAGATGCAAAGCCACTTTCTGAGTCAATGATCAGTTCCAGCTGGAGGAAAGAGCAGGTACTATTAAACTGGCCACAACAGCTTTTAAATGGTAACACCACGTCTGGCAGGGACACAGAAAACCACTCAGATCACAGGCAGAACTATACACTGATGGCCTTCCAGGAAAATGATTTCATTAGCAGGCATAACAGCCAGGATTGGGTTCTGTTCTTTTGACTCACATTTGAGAAGTCACTCCCATAACATCATCCCAAATAAATCATCTTAATGTCCCCGAATCAAAAAGGGTTGCCTTGCCTTACGGCTGGCCTCAAGGGCAGTGAGAGACAGAGCAGGCAGAGACCACTGGGGAAGACGGGTTCCTACACACACACAGGTGTGTGCTCAGCTCAGCACCTGCTCCTCAACCTTGTCGGCTAATAGTCCCCCAGGGGAAGATTTCAAAGGAGTGATCCCAGCACGTGGTTTCAGAGATTTGGATTTGACAGATTGCGAATGGGACTGACATGTCTGACTGCAGTTATCACCATTGCATCTAGGCCTGAGAACTAATCTTACTTAGCCAGGTGTTTGACCCGAGGGCTGAGCAAATAGCGCTGAAGCCTGGTAGAGCAGTGCCTCTCAAATGTGCACGTACACCTGGCAAAAATGCAGATTCAGACTCGGCGGTCTAGAATGGGGACTGTGACCCAGCCTTTCTAACAAGCGCCCAGGCGAGGATGCTGCTGCCGCCTTTCCCAGCTGGCACTTGGAGCAGCCAGACAGGAGCTCCTATCACTACCCATGAGGCCCTGCTCTTGCCCACCCAGCTGGGGCTCACAGCTGGCCCAGCACTTCCCAGGCAGCCACAGTGACCCCCTCGGCTATCACCTGGCAGCTGTGAATTCCAGATGGGTACACAGTGACATCTCCCTGCAAAGCCCTTTCTCAGACAGCAACGGTGGCTCATGTACCCCCAGTGATACCTGAAGATTCCAGCTGCCCCTTCTGACAATGGAGACAGAACTTTCCCGTAAGAAGCCCAGCCAATGGGCCATGGGGATTACTGTACTCACGGCCTTTCTAAACAGATCCAGCTCATTCTCTGCAAAATCCGTAGCCATTTTGGAAACTGAAGTTGTAGCAAGATTCACCTAAGAAATAAGTCAGCGTGACAGTCGGGCTGTGCCCTTCGTGTGTCGGTTAACAGGTCGCAGTCTCGCTCCCTCTCTCCCTCCCTGTCTCCCGACCCCTCTTCAGTCTCTGGCCAGTCACTGAGCTCCTGTATCCAGGCGCTGCGGGCCGCAGGGATGGATCTGTAACCAGGCGTATATTACAGACTTTATTCTTTTTTTTTTTAAGCCTCTCTTTTAATTTACATTGGAGCATATTAATTTTTTTAAATGGGGGATCGTAGTGTAGAATTTCATCAAGTCCCTCTCCTAGCCACCCCAGTGAGGGGGTTAACATTAGGAGAAATACCTAATGTAGATGACAGGGTGATGGATGCAGCAAACCAGCATGGCATGTGTCTACCCATGTAACAAACCTACACATTCTGCACAAGTACCCCAGCACTTTAAGTATAATTTTTTTTTTTTTTTTTTTTTGTAGATTCAGCCTCTTCCTCCTCAAAATATAAGCAAGTAAAAGCTACTGTAATTAATTACTGAACCAATATTATATATTAATACCTATACCTGAATTATATACATTCACACATTATTCTTTTTTTTTTTTTTAAGAAGGGGAAAAAAAGAAAAAGAGGGAAAAAGGAATATTACTTCATTCCTAAAATGAGTTTCAATAATGGCCGATCAATATTTTGAGTGTTTAAAGTGGTTAATGCATATTTTATGTGTTTAAAATGGAGACCTCTATTGTGTTTATTTGTTCTGGCTCTGAGTTCAAGTCCTGGATATCGTTATCAATTTGTTGTCTCGTTGAATCTAAATCTCATTATGTGTCTTATGTATCTGGGTGTTAAGATCTCTTATTGTTGCATTAATCCTTTTACCCTTGCATCCTTGTAGCTTTGAAATCTATTTTATTAAGTGTGAGAATTGCAACTCCTGCTTTTTATTTATTTATTTTTGCTCTCCATTTGGTTGGTTTTTTTCCATCCCCTTGTTTTGAGTCTTTGTATATCTTTAGATATATCGTTAGATTTTGTGGATAATGTATATTTTGTGTGTTTAAAATGGAGAGCTCTATTGAGTTTATTTGTTCTGGATCTTAGTTCCAGTCCTGGATATCGTTATCAATTTTCTGTCTCGTTGAATCTGAATCTCATTATGGGTCTTATGTATCTGGGTGTTAAGATCTCTTATTATTACATTAATCCTTTTATCCTTGTAGCTTTGAAATCTATTTTGTCAAATGTGAAAATTGCAACTCCTGCTTTTTATTTATTTATTTTTGCTCTCCATTTGGTTGGTACGTTTTTTTTTTTTCCAACCCTTTATTTTGAGTCTATGTATATCTTTGGATATACCGTTAGATTTTGTCTGTATCTTTTGATTGGGAGATTTGGTCGATTTAAATTTAGGGTTGCTGCCGTTTGATATTAACTGGCTATTTTGTCCTTTCGTCGATAAAAATTCTTCTTTATGTTAATGCTCTTTACTTTTTGGTGTATTTTTAGAAAGGGTCATACTGGTTGTTCCTTTCTGTGTATAGTGCTTCTTTTAGAAGTTCTTGTAAAGCAGGCCTGGTGGTAATAAAATCTCTGAGTACTTGCTTGTTCCTAAAAAATTTTATTTTTCCTTCAAATGTAAAGCTTAAATTGGCAGGATATGAAATTCTGGGCTGAAAGTTCTGTTGATTAAGTATATTGAATATTGGCCCCCACTCTCTTCTAGCTTGTAGGGTTTCCATTGAGAGATCTGCTGTAAGCCTAATAGGCTTACCTTTATGGGTAACTTGATCTTTCTCTCTGGCTGCCCTTAATATTTTCTCCTTCGTTTCGATCTTGGTGAATCTAACGATTATGTGCCTTGGGGTTGGTCTTCTTGAGGAATATCTTTGTGGTGTTCTCTGTATTGCCTGGGGTTGAATAGTGTCCTGCTTTGCTAAATTAGGAAAATTTTCCTGGATAATGTCCTGGAGAGTATTTTCCAGCTTGACTTCATTCTCTCCGTCACATTCAGGTACACCAATCAAGCGTATATTAGGTCTTTTCACATAGTCCCATATTGCTTGGAGACTTTGCTCATTCCTTTTTATCCTTTTTTCTCTATTCTTGTCTTGTTGTTTTGTTTCATTAAGTTGATCTTCGACCTCTGATACCCTTTCTTCTGCTTGATCCATTCGGCTGTTTAAGCTTGTACATTTTTCACTAAGTTCTCGTGTTGTATTTTTCAACTCCATAAGTTCATTTGTATTCCTCTCTATATTGTCTATTCTTTTCAACATTTCATCGAACCTTTTTTCCAAGTTCTTAGTTTCTTTACATTGGGTTAGAACGAGTTCCTTTAACTCCCAGAAGTTTCTTATCATCCACCTTTTAAAGCCTACTTCAGATAATGGAACACAGTCCTTTTCCATCAGGGCTTGTTCCGTTACTGATGAGTCCTTTTCCATCAGGGCTTGTTCGGTTGCTGATGAGTCCTTTTCCATCAGGGCTTGTTCCGTTGCTGATGGGTTCTGACCTTGAGTATATTCGGCCTTCTTAGGCTGTTTTTTTCCCTTCATTGTAGATGAACCGCCTTTCTAATTAGTTTTCTGAGTCGACGTCTGACTTATTGATTCCCAGTGTTGGGATCCGAGCAACCCACTGTGGCAGCCTAAATAGCAGCGGTAAGACTGATGGTGCTCTTCTGCCCGGGAATCTCTGGTCTGGCTTCCCTCTTGAGTCCGCAACAAGCGGCTCTGACTTCCCGGAGCTCCAAACTCCAGTCAGTAGGGGAAGCAGTCCCGTTGGCTCTGCATGAAGAGCTGCTGCACCGAGACGCCGGCAAAACCGCTGCAGCGGCCACAAGAGTCGCGCTGGCGACCCGTGGGGCTCCTCCACTGGGAATCAGCTGATCAGTGAGTGACGAAAATTTGTCTAAAAGTGTGGCGTCGTCTCGTTCTCTGGGCTTTCACTGGGAGCTACAATCCTGAGCTGTTAGTGGTCGGCCATCTTGGATCGATCCTTCAGACTTTATTCTTTAGCTCAGTCCACATGCCAGACTCTCAGAAGTTTTAGAACTCCAAAGGGTACACAGTATTTTCCAAACGCAGATCGACTTGGGAGATTTGTCTGCATGTTAATGGAACTTCAAATGCAAAAGGCACTGAGAAGTCCAGTAGCAAAGAAATCTGCTCTGCCATGTCTGACCAGCATTCCCACAGTTCACTGTGTAATGTTTTTTCCAGGGAATTGACTAGAGTGCTCCATATGGAGTATAGCCTGGCTGGGAGGAGCCAGATGTCCTCTACCAGTCCGAGGTGTCTCCTAGCCAGGGAGGGGGCATGCCAGCTTCCATGTATTTCACTCCTGTATTTCACCCTGGTCCCTACCTGCGAGAGTAAATCTGAAAACCACTGAGGGCCCTGAGTGGGTGGCAATCCTTGACGCTCCTGCACTTTCTGTAAAACCATTTTCTCCCTTTATTCCTAATATTCCATACATTTGGAGTGACTTCTTTGCAGAGAACTGTCCAAAAGCAAAATCAAACCAAAGCAAACACAGGCTGCCATCTCGGGCGGAGGCTCCGTGTGGGCAGTGACACGAGCACTGAGGTCCCAGATTCGAGTTCTGGTCACCCTGACCCTGAAAACCGAAAGATACCACGGGCCTCGGAGGCGTGCTGTGCGCACAGGAAGGCAGGCTGGGTCGGGGGCAGGCTGGCCTCAGTTTCTTTGTCCATCTCACTTCACTCAGCCCTATCTAGGTAGGGAGCATTTTACAAACGGGGACATGCGTTCCAGTTCCTCAGAAATGCCACTAGAGGGCTCTGCCGGGCACTCACCAGCGCATAAATGGGTCTCCCGTCATCTTCCGTGACTCCTCTCTTTATCTCAATATACAAGGACTCCAAGACACTGTTTATGTTGTTGATGAAGTCCTCCAACTTATCTACGGTGGCATTGCCTGGAAATAAACAGACCAGAAAAAGGGGGGTGGGGCATGGCTTGCTTGAATCATTGCATCCCGTCTCAACACAGGGGACGTCACCACCAGACATGGGCAGAGGCTGCAGCCTCTTGGGTGAACGCCAGTGCCTCGTGGCTTCTTTCTTCCTGGAGTACTCAGAAGACAAGCAGACAACAGATGGAGGGCGTCGTGAGGCAGGAGGGCCGGGGAGATGCTATCTGCGACCACAAAGGCTGCTGCGGACTTCCTGTCTGTGCTCGCTGCCTCCTGGTGAGAGCCCAATCAGCACCTTCAGGGTATCACTGGGCGACGCACTCAGAGCCTGCACTGAGCTTCCGCCAAACACGCATTCCATCCCATCTCAGCCCTCTACCTCGTCCCCAGTGCTCCGCGAGAGGCCTCTGTCCCTGCACGTCCCCACAAGTCTTAGGTGAAGCTTTATTCCTTTCTCTCTTTATTCGACATCCACTTATGCTCAATTACATGCCCGGCCTGTGCTGGGTTCCTGGGCTGGACAGTAAGAATAACAAGTGGGGTGAGACAGGCAGCTTGCAGCAAGCCCTCAGCATGGACAGGCCCTGTCCCCAATACCTTCGTGGTCATGAATCCACCCTCCAGCTCTCTGGGCACAGGGGAAGAGGCTGAGACCCAGAGAGGTGCACTGACTTGCCCAGAGTCACACCACAAGGCCCGGGCTTTGACCTCTCTGTCGCCCACCTCCCCTGGCACTGCCAGCAGGATGCTGACAGCCCAGGGGTCGCCATCCAGGTCCATCAGACTGAGGAGGGAGCACCCACAGTATTGCAGAGGGTTCCACTGAATGGACACTGATCAGCCAGGGAAGGAAGGAAGGAAGGAAGGCAGGGAGGCTGTGGTGGCGGGGGAGCCAGACCACATAGGGCCTGTGGCCAGTGACAGCAGGGCCTTTCTTCTGCGGCACCAGGAAGCCTCTGAGCACAGAACAGTGGAAGGGCATGGCCAGCTTTGTGTCCCTTTTATGCTTGTGAAACTTTTTTTTTTTTGAGACAGCATCTCACTCTTGCCCAGCCTGGAGTGCAGTGGCATAATCTCAGGTCACTGCAACCTCCACCTCCAGGGTTCAAGCCTCAGCCTCCTGAGGAGTTGAGATTATAGGCGTCCGCCACCATGCCCAACAGGGTTTTACCATGTTGGCCAGGCTGATCTCAAACTCCTGACCTCAAGTGATCCGCCCTCCTTGGCCTCCTAAATTGCCAGGACTACAAGCATTAGCCACCTCGCCCAGCTTGTGCTGCAAAACTTTTTAAAGCAAGAGTATGTGTTGCTGTTTTCACTGCGTTTATATATTAAAATAATTTCAAAAGATTCATACCTTAGAAAATCATTCTGAAAAAAAACTGCAGGAAAACACAGACAGTATGATACATTTATGTGTGAAACAGAAGTAGAACCCATGAAACGGTCCCAGAGGAAAAGGCCCAGCAGGTTACCCACGGGACTGATGCCCAAGGCCATCACCAGGTAGCGACTAAACGAGGGGTCCTCGGAGGGCACACGCGCTGTGTCTGTGTTTGATTTCTTACCGACAGAGGTATTTCTAAGTGACCTGTATAACTCAAGATTCATAAAGTTTAAAAAAAAAAACAAGATCACACTGGTGACATCGGAGGATGTGGCCGTGTGAAAAACTCAAGGACAACCCAGGCCAATGAGCTCTATCAGAGGATCAGACCATGGGAGCGCGGAAAAGCTGAGAACAAAGCCCTGCGGGGAGCGAATCTTCCATTTCAGTAAAGTTTTTAAAAGGCAGTTTAAATTAAAAATAAGTCCAAATAAGTGGGTGGAACGTGGACATGGCAAAATCGTAACATATGCCAATGACATCTGGCCTCAGCAGCTGGGGAGCAGGCATCAGGAGAGAGGCATGGCCTGATTTTCTGCCTCCATGCCTCTGTTCACCGGTCCCTCCTTTCTGAGAAGCCCTCCCTCCGCTGCTGCAGCCGGCCTGGCTGGCCCGTTTTCCCAGACAATATTCTCTTCTGCCCCGATGCTGTCCTCCTCTTCTACACCACGCAAGGCAGCTCTTTGCCCGTGTGAGAGCAGAGCTCTTCTGTACCTGCCTATGCCGGTGACTTGGCCAGACACTTTTCCACCCCAGAGCAGTCAAGGCTGGGCAGCTCAGGCGCAAGGGGACCAGACATCAAAAAGCCTCACTCCGTGCAGAATGAGTGATAGGATCCCTGTCCACCCAGTGTGACACCGGGGCAAGTCCCACCTCCCTCTGAAAGTGACAACTCACAGTTTCCACTAATGAGGCCCCTCCTGGGTGTCACCAAGAACAGTGTGCCCTTTGGGCAGATGAGGCATTCTGATCTATCGGACTTTCCAGACACCTCGTTGAGGGAAGGGAACCAGCAGCCCTCTCTGCCTTTCCCTTCTCCCCACCGCCTCTGGTTTGGCATCCAGCCTCATTTGTCTGAAACCATGAGTGTTTTGCTGCATTTTCATCTGACCAGCCACTTCCTCCTACTGTACTCGCTCAATGCAGATCCCAGCCTCCACTTGGGTGCTCCCATTCTCTCTGCTATCGCCCTTCCTCACACTTCCTGCATCAGGGTCATGTCCACGCTCTCCATCACTACCCTGGAACTGTTTCTCACAAAGGCCCCCTGCCATTGCATCTCCTCTTAATCATGACCTGAGAATAAACTTCTCTTACGCTCAGCACCCCAAACCCAGCTGACTCCTTTGGGCAGCAACAGAGGTGGCGTGGTGGCATGGGGCCAGCAGCAGAGGTGTGGGCTCCCACCATCCTGCCCTCCTGCTCTGTGGGGCCCTGCGTGAGCCTCTTCCCCTATTTCTCATCTCTAAAGGCCACACATTATCTTGCCTCCAACCTCACACATGTCCAGAACCCTCTTCCCTCCTGCCTCTCTACCACCTCCTCTGGCTGCCACTCCAGCCTCCCGATCCTCTGGCATCCTCCCATACAGGCCTTCCCTGACCAGATTAGCTGCAGTTCCCAGCTCGGTCCTCCCATGGCTCCAGCACTCCCTTCCACGTCACACAGCGCTCTGGTTACTGTGTCCGGCTGCTCCGAGACACGAGTCAGCTAGTGACACCTGCCAACCTAGCAGCCATTTCCCTCGCTAACAAGACCTTCGCCTTTTTCCTTTCTTTTTTTAAATTGTCTTTCTCCTACATTTGCTGTTTTGGTGGGAAAAGAATTCCAGGTACGATATTCAGGAAACCAGAAAGCAGAAAGCTCAAGGGACCAGAGATGAGGGCAGCCAAGAGTGGAAGGAGGACCCATATCAGCCAACCAGACACTCTCCCAATCTGAGCAAAGGATGAAAGGAAGCTTGGAGGTGGCTCCAGCTCCCCAGCTACAGAGGGCCAGCTGCTCTGGCCATGTGGTGGTGTCATGCTTCCTGCCCATCCCTGACTGGGCACCTGACCACCAATAAGTCCTATGTGCCCTTCCCCCGACAGCATTCCGGCATTCCAACATATTCCTTTTTTTTTTTTTTTTTTTGAGACGGAGTGTTACAGTGTCACTCCATCGCCCAGGCTGGAGTGCAGTGGGGCAATCTCAACTAGCTGCAACCTCAACCTCCCAGGTTCAAGCGATCCTCCCACCTCAGCCTCCCGAGTCACTGGGATTACAGGCATTTTGCCATCACATCTGGCTAATTTTTTTGTATTTTTAGTACAGATGAGATTTCACTATGTTGGCCAGGCTGGTCTCAAACTCCTGACCTCAAATGATCCGCCCACCTCAGCCTCCCAATGTCTTGGGATTATAGGCATGAACCACCACACCTGGCCCCGACACATTCCTTTCTCAGTTGACCAGAACTGGGGTCTCTTGCTTGCTCCCAAGATCCTTAAGATGCCCAGCAAGCATCGAGGTCGCACCACATCGGTGCTTCCCAGCCTCAGGTCTTCAGGACAACTAATATCCAGCTCTGCCCTGCTCTCTCCCCGGATCCTGCAGCCCTGCTGGAGAAGCTACAGTTTGCCAATCTGTAGGGATACACTGGGCTAAAGGCATGTGTGAGGATCCTTTTGACCTCAGTATTCTACGAGCCCATGGTCATGACAAAGGGTGTGGAATAAAGTCCGATTGTGGGATTCTGAGACAACCGCTTCCAGTTTGTCTTTGAGGATTTAGGAGTTAGTTAACAACACTGCTCCTTTCTTCAGAATCCAGAACCAACTGAAGAAAAAGACGCATCCTTCACTAAACATCAAAACATCAGGATTTTTTGCAGGTAGAGCTGGATCTGAGGCTAGTTCTCTGCACACGGCCAACCTGCAGTCAGTGATATGGGAGGCCCAGCTATGAGGACAGAGGTACGAGGCCCGGCCCTAGCATAGATGTCTCTTCTAGAGAAAAAGAGATACCCTAGCCAGGACAACTAGCACTATGTTTGAATCAAGAAAGCTGAAGCTCTAAACCTCTAAACACAGTGCCACCCGTGTTTTCTCTACTTGGAAGAGGCAGGGTGTGTCTGGAATTCTTAAGGCTGTAGTAAAGTAGCTTGTGTTAGGCTAAGATCAAGAGGCCTGCAAATGTGTGGCTGTAATTCACCTTATTATGTGCCAGCCTTATGTATTCACATGGTTCATTTCATCGTGACAATAACAGTAACTCCATAAGGTACATCGTTAATACCGTTTGTATATGCAGGAGGCTTGCAGGGGTTAACAACTTGCTCATAGTTTCCATAACTTGGAAATGGACCCCAGGCTTGCCTGACCCCAGATCCTGAACTCCCATGCACTAAGCCACACGGTTCTGCAGAGCAAGCCTGAGGACATCTCCTATACCAGAATAGACACCCTCCTGTACCTGCCCTGTGCTTTAGAGTCGCTGAGAGAGACTGGGCCAACAGGGAAGGATGGAAGGCATCTGGGCAGCACCTGAGTAAGACACTGGAGGTGGTGCCCAAGGAGGAGCTGCACTCACGGAGACACATCTGCCCCGCCCCACCAGGCCCCACCCAGCCCAGCTC